TTTAATCAATCTCTTATAAACACTAGAAAATATTTAATAAATATTTTTTTAATTAAAGAATTTTAGCAACCTATTTTGTAGACGAATAAATACTATGTTAAATAAATACTATGTTAAAAAAACTAATAAATAAAAATAAAAACAGAAAAATAAATACTATGTTAAAATCTCCTAAATGTTTACTAAGCATTTATGCTGGTAATTAATCAGGCGCAACTGTTACAAGCAGAATCGATACGCTGAGAGGAATGGAAAGTAGGAACGCGAGTAGAGAAAAATGAAGAAAACGGGATCTTTACGACGGTAATATACCGGGACGAGAGCCTAGAGGAAACTTCTCGAGCACCGATCGAGGAAGTTCAGCGACTCCTCGCGGTAGGCAGAATCCGGAATAGTTATGACCGGGCACAACCATCTCGGACTAACGACTCACCACCGACACCATGACTGGGGCACGCCTTCTTCGAGTTTCGATCCCGGCGCGGACTTATTGGAGTGTCACGGGAGCGGGAAGAGCAAGTGTGCCTTCCGCGGAAGACGTCGGTCGCCTTGAGCGGAAAAGGCGATAATGACGGGCGACCCCGTTCGCGCCAACCTCGTTTGAGGTATAAAACGAGAAGAGGCCGGGGAAAAGGATGATCGAAATAAGAACCATGGTGCGTGTAGTTATACAGGCAGGTCTCTTCAGATGATGGAGGCCTCGGACGAGGGCTTCTCGAATGCCTGCCGAGACAAATGGCAGGCACAAAGCGGCACTTTGTATTTAATGTAAGGTAAAATACACGGCGGCGACACGCGTGAGCAAAGTTACACAAATACATTCTGCGAACGTTCAATTTCTTGCCTCCCCACTATCTTATCGCCAAGAATGTCCGCGGATTTATAGATGCCCGGTAACCCGAAAAAGGTTCGATTAAACGAAACAAGATTTAGCGTTCTGGGAATTTAATATAATATCGATGCCTTTAAAATCAAATGACTTTTTTGTTATTGTAATTAAAAAAATGTTGAATTATGCTTTATAATATTTTTAAAGCATTATAAAGTATTTATTTATAAAGTATTAAATCGTATATGCAAATTAAAAATGTACATGTATAGAAAAAGCAATTTACGAATGTGATTAAGACGTTGAAAATATTTGCGTGTCTAAATAAATAAAAAATTCAACCTACCAACCTGTATACATAGTTATAAAAAATAAAATCAACAATGTACGCAATTTAAAAAATTACACACATTATATTCTACAATGTAACATCGCGTATACATATATACGTCTTTTTATAATATCAGGAAGCGCGTAACGATCAGTAACGAAGAACCACCTGCGAGAGGGCAAAATTCGCTCGCGTTTCTTTAACGGGAGAAGGTGCGCCAGCACAAGGTGGACGGAAGAGGTGGGGGAGAAGACAGGGGAAGTAAAGGAGCAAGACCAAGTAGAAGGTGGGGTCGCCATGGTCGTGGTCCGCCTGGGAAAAAGAGGACCACGCATTGTGATCCGGGGAGCGAGAAGGCCACGCTAGGCTGACCCTAGGCTTTACATTAACCATCCACCGCGTATACACACGTATACGTAAATGGCCGTGCCCGACACCCCTGGCCGAGATTGTACCTGTTGCACCGAGTAATCATTGCCCTGCCGTGCGAGAGACTTTTTTTTTCTCTCTCTTTCTCTCTCGTGGTTTTTCTCTCGTATTTTTGGAACAAACAGAGTGGAACGCGTGACAATCTCCGAAAAGCTTCGAAAATCCCGCGAGTTATCGAGACACATCCGTAATTAACCGACCGGCGAAGACTTTTGTACCACCCAAATGTCGCACAAACAAACGCTTCGTGAGAAAAGTTTACGAAACGGTTTTCACGGAAATCGCGAAATTTCGAGATTCTCAATATGACAGAACGAAAGTCATTATTTATCCCGCGCTCCGGAAACAGGAGACAAAGAAAGGAGGAGAAGAGATCGTCTCTTTCTCTATCTCTCTCTCTCAGACGTCAAATTATATTTCTCCGCGACATGTAATTAATTCCACAGAGAATTTTTAAAACTCCACAATATAATGAAAATCTCCGTAGATTCTGCCATTCATTTTCCTTAATCTTGACAAATGGCATCACACACATGTGACACGGGGATGACAGCGAGTTCGGGAAAAAGAGGAGCGAAATATGTACGCGAGGAGATCGTACGCGTTGATACGAAAAAGTTTCATCTTTCACTGGAATTGGGAGAGTACGATGAGAGATTTTAAGGCGCGATAGGAAGTAGAAAAAAAAAAAAGTTTACTCACCTTCGGGACAGTGACACGCGTAGCCGAGCTCGCCCAGCTGATGACACGAGCCTCCGTTTTCACATGGTGACGGATCGCAGGGGATGTAGTCGCTCTCGCAATTTTGTCCGGTGTATCCGCTCGAGCACATGCATCTGCGAGATAAGAGAGAATACGTAACTTTAGATACTTTATAATTTAAATTAGAAATTCCTGTAAATAAGTAACTACAGTTTTTTCCCCCCTTATCAATCTTGGATAAAGTTCCGAATAGGTGAACCCTCCGATTTTTTTGAAACTACACTATTTTTTGTATTTTTTAACGCTGATTACAAATGTGATAATGAAAATTTGCGACAAGGTCATTTTCAAGGTCAAAACAAAAAAACTGAAAAAATATAACTTTTTAGACATTATTTTAATAAATATTGATGTAACAAAAAAATGTTTCAAATAAAGGTTGCAGTTCTTAAAAAAATACATTATTTATGTTCTATAAATTTTTTGCGTGAAACTGAAAGTTTTCGAGAAAATCGATATTAAAGACTAAAAACGGCGGGTGAAGTTCCGAAAAACTAGACAAATAGGTTTGCGTGGAACTTCGCTCTGCGTGGAAAGTTGCAAACCCATGTGGAACCTCGCTTCGCGTGGAAAAGTGTATGCGTGGAAACAGAGGGTTCCACCCCTCTGTGGGGGCTCCACTACCAAAATACTAGACAAATAGGTTTGCGTGGAACTTCGCTCTGCGTGGAAAGTTGCAAACCCATGTGGAACCTGGCTTCGCGTGAAAAAGTGTATGCGTGGAAACAGTGGGTTCCGCCCCCCTGCGGGGGGCTCCACTACCGAAAAACTAGACAAATAGGTTTGCGTGGAACTTCGCTCTGCGTGGAAAGTTGCAAACCCATGTGGAACCTCGCTTCGCGTGGAAAAGTGTATGCGTGGAAACAGTGCGTTCCGCCCCCCTGCGGGGGGCTCCACTACCGAAAAACTAGACAAATAGGTTTGCGTGGAACTTCGCTCTGCGTGGAAAGTTGCAAACCCATGTGGAACCTCGCTTCGCGTGGAAAAGTGTATGCGTGGAAACAGTGCGTTCCGCCCCCCTGCGGGGGGCTCCACTACCGAAAAACTAGACAAATAGGTTTGCGTGGAACTTCGCTCTGCGTGGAAAGTTGCAAACCCATGTGGAACCTCGCTTCGCGTGGAAAAGTGTATGCGTGGAAACAGTGCGTTCCGCCCCCCTGCGGGGGGCTCCACTACCGAAAAACTAGACAAATAGGTTTGCGTGGAACTTCGCTCTGCGTGGAAAGTTGCAAACCCATGTGGAACCTCGCTTCGCGTGGAAAAGTGTATGCGTGGAAACAGAGGGTTCCACCCCTCTGTGGGGGCTCCACTACCAAAATACTAGACAAATAGGTTTGCGTGGAACTTCGCTCTGCGTGGAAAGTTGCAAACCCATGTGGAACCTCGCTTCGCGTGGAAAAGTGTATGCGTGGAAACAGAGGGTTCCACCCCTCTGTGGGGGCTCCACTACCAAAATACTAGACAAATAGGTTTGCGTGGAACCTCGCTCTACGTGGAAAGTTGTAAACCCATGTGGAATCGTATATGTACTGCAAAGTACATGCTTAGATGGGAGAACAGATATAAGATTTAGATTCCATCGTTTTTGTTGAAAACTATCGTACGGTAAAAATTAATAGGACATAAAATGTTTTTCTCTGTAAGATCTAAAATTGTTATGGGTTTTTCATGATTTTCACTATGAAAATGAGAGATGCACCAATTTTCATTATGATATTCGTAATCAGTGCATCAAAATACGTAAGAATACTGAGTTTCAAAAAAATCGCTTTGCGTGGAAAGTTGCAAACCCATGTGGAACCTCGCTTCGCGTGGAAAAGTGTATGCGTGGAAACAGTGGGTTCCGCCCCCCTGCGGGGGGCTCCACTACCGAAAAACTAGACAAATAGGTTTGCGTGGAACTTCGCTCTGCGTGGAAAGTTGCAAGCCCATGTGGGACCTCGCTTCGCGTGGAAAAGTGTATGCGTGGAAACAGTGGGTTCCGCCCCCCTGCGGGGGGCTCCACTACCGAGAAACTAGACAAATAGGTTTGCGTGGAACTTCGCTCTGCGTGGAAAGTTGCAAGCCCATGTGGGACCTCGCTTCGCGTGGAAAAGTGTATGCGTGGAAACAGTGGGTTCCGCCCCCCTGCGGGGGGCTCCACTACCGAGAAACTAGACAAATAGGTTTGCGTGGAACTTCGCTCTGCGTGGAAAGTTGCAAACCCATGTGGAACCTGGCTTCGCGTGAAAAAGTGTATGCGTGGAAACAGTGGGTTCCGCCCTTCTGCGGGGGGCTCCACTACCGAAAAACTAGACAAATAGGTTTGCGTGGAACTTCGCTCTGCGTGGAAAGTTGCAAACCCATGTGGAACCTGGCTTCGCGTGAAAAAGTGTATGCGTGGAAACAGTGGGTTCCGCCCTTCTGCGGGGGGCTCCACTACCGAAAAACTAGACAAATAGGTTTGCGTGGAACTTCGCTCTGCGTGGAAAGTTGCAAACCCATGTGGAACCTGGCTTCGCGTGAAAAAGTGTATGCGTGGAAACAGTGGGTTCCGCCCTTCTGCGGGGGGCTCCACTACCGAAAAACTAGACAAATAGGTTTGCGTGGAACTTCGCTCTGCGTGGAAAGTTGCAAACCCATGTGGAACCTGGCTTCGCGTGAAAAAGTGTATGCGTGGAAACAGTGGGTTCCGCCCCCCTGCGGGGGGCTCCACTACCGAAAAACTAGACAAATAGGTTTGCGTGGAACCTCGCTCTACGTGGAAAGTTGTAAACCCATGTGGAATCGTATATGTACTGCAAAGTACATGCTTAGATGGGAGAACAGATATAAGATTTAGATTCCATCGTTTTTGTTGAAAACTATCGTACGGTAAAAATTAATAGGACATAAAATGTTTTTCTCTGTAAGATCTAAAATTGTTATGGGTTTTTCATGATTTTTACTATGAAAATGAGAGATGCACCAATTTTCATTATGATATTCGTAATCAGTGCATCAAAATACGTAAGAATACTGAGTTTCAAAAAAATCAGAGGTGAGCACTTTTCGGAACTTTACCCGTCGTTTTTAGTCTTTAACATCGATTTTCTCGAAAACTTTCAGTTTTACGCAAAAAATGTATAGAACATAAATGATGTATTTTTACAAGAACTACAACTTTTATTTGACACATTTTTTCTTACATCAATATTTATCGAAATAATATTTAAAAAAGTATATTTTTTCAGTTTTTTTTTGAGTTTTGACCTTGAAAATGACCTTGTCGCAAATTTTCATTATCATATTCGTAATCAGCGTTCAAAAATAAAAAAAATAGTGTAGTTTCAAAAAAATCGGAGGGTTCACCTATTCGGAACTCCACCCTCAATCTTAATGCGCGAATAATTAACACGATACGCGTGCAGTATCGATTTTCCATGCGACACGAGAAATCTGTAAGACGATCCAACAGCGAAAACACAAAACAATTCCATCGATTTCGCGTCGATATCGATGACAATAATCGAAAGAATATGATACCGTCCAGTAATCATGCCACCCATTTCGATCAATAATTATTTCAAACAAAGCAAATTTTTTTAAACATGTAATGGCATATAAAAATATTTCTTTAAATAAATTAAAGATCGTCAAGCATTTTTTTCCTTTTTCAAGAGAAATTTTTATTTAAAAAACTTGGCATATAATACTTTTATTTTAAAAATTAATATCCTTTTGGAAAATTCTTTCATGATTTATAGACATCATTCCAATGTGACATTTACACGCCACGTAAAATACTTGCTCATATAAATATCAATATACATATATTTCCCGTTTATTAACTATTATTTTATAAGACTATCTTGTCTCTAGCACTTTATTTACAGTGTTGCCGCCTATTTGCTATTTATATATATTTCATCCTTCATTTTCAAAATCCCTCTTAAAACAGTGATAAAACTCAGTTTATTATGTTTAACTTAAATTTATCAACGATTCATGTAAAAATTACAAAACAGTATTTTTTATTTTATTTTATCTCGCTTCACGCACGCGAGGATAATGAGGTAGAAAAATTTTAAATCGGAAAATAAAATTTTTCCATCCTTTTCGCAAACGCACCTCGAGCCGGCGACGAACAGTAGCAGAAGAAGCACGCGCGTGAGATTCATTTTCGCTTGTAATCGATGCCCACGAACGGTCGCAGCAGTGAAACGTAATCCTCATATTTCCACGAAGAGGCTCGATGCGCGAATGTTCACTCCATTTTCCAAGAAGAAGAAATTACCGGGAGGGAAAAGGGGGAGGATCCAGGCTCGCGGGCCCAGCCTCTCTTCTCCTCTCTCGTTCCACGAAACGATCAATTAAAAATTGGCGGTATACAAACGCACTTGATATCTTTTTCTCTTTTCACACGACTCTTATAACATTAACTCTTCGCACATAAGTTCACACACTATCGCACACTGGCTTCGGGAAAGGCCCCTTCACACACGAGAAAGTAATCCAACTTGTCAAAGAGATGACTGCGACGTTTGATAGAGAAAAAAAAAAATTGGAGTAAAAATTCATAAAATATAATCAGTTAGTATAAACACGCGATTCGTATATCGATGATCACACTGTGCTTAATATCACGATACAACGTCGCTCGCTTTCGAACTCGCGCGAATTACTCGGTAGTATCGCGGTTTAACGACCGACGAACGGACGCGCGTGTGTCTTTCCACTTGAACAGTGAAAATAATCACACTCCGTTCGGTTTATAACGCGGTTACTTGAACGAAATCGATGTTCGAACGCGAACGTGGGAACGCGCGCGCGAAACGTGCGGCGTCCTCTCGGGTGACTGGCGACTGACTAACCTTACCTTCTGCCGTGGACCGCTCAGAGGGCGCCAGCATCGCGCGCTCCCCTCCCCCACCACCGCAGCGCGCGCTCGGACTCGTCTCCCTCCACCTCACATCACCCGTGCGCTTTCTCTTTCTCATCACCGGCAAGTTTCGCGCCCCTCTTTTCTCCTGCGCTCGCGCTTACTCACACTTGAAAGTTCCCTTCTCGCCCTAACTTCGTTGCTTTCCGATCGAGACGTTATCTTTTCTCTCTT